CCCTTCCTCTGCTCTCTGGGGCTGGCAGAGCTCCCCAGATGATTCTGGTGCCTTTTTCCCCAACCCTCCTCTGATTTCTGGATCGGTCAGCTCTCCCTAGAACAATTCTGGTGCCTTTTCCCCCTAACCCTTTCTGCTGTCTCGGGCTGTCAGTGCTCCCCAGGATGATGCTGATGGCTTTTCCCCAACCCTGCTCTGTTCTCTGTGTCTGTCAGCTCTCCCCAGAACAATTCTGGTGCTTTTTCCCCCTCCCCTTTCTGCTCTCTGGGTCTGTCAGTGCTCCCCAGAGTAATTCTGGTGCCCACCCCTCCTCTGCCTTTTTCCCTCCCCTTTCTGCTCTCTGGTCCTGTCAGTGCTCCTCAGGATGATTCTGGTGCCTTTTCCCCACCCCTCCTCTGATTTCTGGTTCTGTCAGTTCTCCTTAGGACAATGCTGGTGCCTTTTCCCAAATCCTTTCTGCTCCCTGGGGCTGTCAGTTCTCCCTAGAGCAATTCTGGTGCCTTTTTCCCACCCCTCCTCTGATCTCTGGGTCTTCCATTGCACCCCAGGAAAATTTTGGTACCTTTTGCTCCCAACCCTTTCTGCTCTCTGAGTCTGTCAGCTCTCCCTAAAACAATTCTGGTGCCTTTTTCCCTCCCCTTTCTGCTCTCTGGATCTGTCAGCTCTCCCTAGAACAAACCTGGTGCCTTTTCCCCAACCTTCCTCTGTTCTCTGGTCCTGTCACTGCTCCCCAGAACAATCCTGGTTCCTTTTTCCCCCAATCCTTTCTGCTCTCTGTGTCTGTCAGCTCTCCCTAAAACAGTTCTGGTGCCTTTTCCCCATCCCTGCTCTGCTCTCTGGGTTTGTCAGTGCTCTCTAGAACAATTCCGATGCCTTTTCCCCCCAACCCTTTCTGCTCTCTGGGTTTATCAGTGTTCCCCAGAACAATTCCGATGCCTTTTTCCCCCAATCCTTTCTGCTCTCTGGATCTGTCAGCTCTCCCCAGAACAATTCTGATGGCTGTTCCCCCAACCCTTTCTGCTTTCTGGGGCTGTCATTTCTCCCCAGAACAATCCCGGTGCCTTTTTCCCTCCCCTTTCTGCTCTCTGGGGCTGTCAGCTCTCCATAAAACAGTTCTGGTGCCTTTTCCCCATCCCTGCTCTGCTCTCTGGGTTTGTCAGTGCTCTCTAGAATGATTCTGGTCCCTTTTCCCCATCCCTCCTCTGATCTCTGGTCCTGTCAGTGTTCCCCAGAGCAATCCTGGTTCCTTTTTCCCCCAACCCTTTTTGCTCTCTGGATCTGTCAGCTCTCCCTAGAACAATTCTGGTGCCTTTTCCCCACTCCTCCTCTGATTTCTGGTTCTGTCAGTTCTCCCCAGAACAATTCTGGTGCCATCTCCCCTCCCCTTTCTGCTGTCTAGGGCTGTCAGCTCTTCATAAAACAGTTCTGGTGCCTTTTCCCCATCCCTGCTCTGCTCCCTGGCTTTGTCAGTGCTCTCTAGAACAATTCCGGTGCCTTTTCCCCCCAACCCTTTCTGCTCCCTGGGTTTATCAGTGCTCCCCAGAACAATCCTGCTGCCTTTTCCCCCCAACCTTTCTAGGATAACCGTGGTTTCTGTTCCCCCAGGTGTGCACCAGCTGTGAGGACAATGCCAGCGCTGTGGGGTTCTGTGTGGAGTGTGGGGAGTGGCTGTGCAAGACCTGCATCGAGGCTCACCAGCGAGTCAAGTTCACCAAGGACCACATGATCCGGAAAAAAGAGGATGTGTCCTCAGGTGGGTGTTGGTGTCCCTTTGTCCTGCCTGCTCCAAAAGCCTCTTCTATTTTATGTTAAAAAAAAGGGGGAGGATGATGGTAACAACCAGCTCTGTGGGTTTCCTTTCCCCCAGGATTTGGGAAAAGTGCAGTAAAAAAGTTACCCGTGCAAAATTAGAAGCTGTAAAAATAGAGGAAGAATTGAATTTATAACAGTGATACTTTGTGCATTTGGAAAGGATTTAGATCTAGATAATAGAATTCTAGATTAATAAATTAGTAGAATTAGATTGTTTAGTGGAAGAAGTATCTAAATGGAGGGGCTGGAATCTGGAGAACAGTGACATATTATAAATCTTATCCATTGTTCAAGGAAATTAAATTACCCATTTTGTTGTATTTTGTTAGGAGAAGCAATTATAGTTCTCCCTGTAGAAACATGTATATAAGGTTATATAGTTAAACAGTTATATTGATATAGTTTATATAGTTAAATAGTTATAAAATTTATATAGTTAAATAGTTATATAATTTATATAGTTAAATAGTTATATAATTTATATAGTTATAACTATATATTTTATATAGTTACATAGTTATATAGTTTATAAAGTTATATGGTTATATAATGTATACAGTTATATAATTTATATAGTTGTTATAACTATATATTTTATATAGTTACATAGTTATAGTTATATAGTTAATAAAGTTGTATGGTTACATATTTTATATTGTTATATAATTTATAGTTAGTTATAACTATATATTTTATATAGTTACATAGTTATAGTTATATAGTTTTTAAAGTTATATAGTTATATAATTTATATAGTTACATAATTTATATAGTTATATAATTTATATAGTTAAATAGTTAGAACTATATATTTTATGTAGTTACATAGTTATAGTTATATAGTTTATATAGTTATAACTATATATTTTATATAGTTACCTTCATATAGTTACCTTATTACCTTTTTATATTTACCTTATATAATTTATATAGTTAAATAGTTAGAACTATATATTTTATGTAATTACCTAGTTATATAGTTTATATAGTTATGACTATATCTTTTATATAGTTACCTTCAATATATTCTGTTATTTTGTACTGATATTACCAAGTAAATGTAGAATTTGAATCTGTTTTAGGTTTAATCCCTCAGTGAGCAAAATTGAATATGTGAATTTTGTGTAGGTTTTTCAGGTGTGCAGCCTTATTAGAAATAAATTCTTGAGCTGTTGTTTGATCATGTATCATTTGTAGCCTATTGAGGTCATGTGGAAAATCATCTCACAGCAGGTCCAGCCTATCTGGATTTTATCATCTGGGCCTGTTGAGGTCATGTGGAAAATGTTCTCCAAACAGGTCCGGGGTATCTGGATTTGAGATTAGAAAATTCTGTCTGTACACGGGTTAAAAGTTCTGATTTAAAGATTTGTAGGTTCTCCACAATCTGGATGTGTCTGAAAATGATAACATTGAGGAAGAGAGATCTCAACACTTTGCTGTCTTCATTTAAATGTATTTAAGATTAATTAAGATCTCCATAATTGTCTTGTTGTATCCTTTCAAAGGACCAAACACAACTTTTCTTTTTAAAAATTGTTTAATAGTTAAAAAGTTTGCTGTTGAGCTTAGTTCCTTTAGATAGGGATTTTATTTCATTTGCTCTATCATATAAACCTCATTTTGGAGAGGCTTCTCTTTATGTCTTAATGCATATTTTTAATAAGAAATATTATCCATTTAAGATTAAATATATTAAGCTTTATAGGTGAGAAACCCTTAAACTCAATCAAATTATAAGGCCCAAGAAAGAATTAATTGATGTTTTTACAAGGAAAGCTAAATGTGATATTACAGCTCAGCTTTCCTTTTGATACCTGCTGGGAGGGGGCTGAAAAGTCACTGTTCCAAAACCAGAAAGTTTATAAAAATATAACATTTTAAATTATAATATATATTAATATAATAATAATATAATAATAATATAATAATATTATTATACAATTCTATAATATTGTAATAATATCAATATTATAATGATAATATACAATATATATTTATATTTAAATATAAGTTAATTAAATTATAAAATATTTTATAAATATGAAGTTTATAAAATAACTGTTTTAAAAGAAAGTTTATAAAATAAGCTTTCCATCAGAAATTGTATTTATTTTGATTGTGGGGAAGGGCTGGTGATTGTTTTTTTTTTTCTTCTTAGACTCAAAGATGTTAAATTTTGGAGATTTTAAATTTCTCTCAGTGAGTGGCAGCTGTAGGTTCATCAGCTCTTTCTTTACAATAACTTGCATGATATAACCAGCTTCAGAAACACTGGAGAGTGAAGGAAATTCATTTAAACTCTACCTCCTGTACCTTCCAAAGGCTGCTTTCCTCTTTGCTAAGCTCAAAACATCTTCACAACACTGTACAGATTTCTATTTAGAAAACCCAGAGTTATTTTTTGCCATTATTTGTTATTTGGGGGTTTAATTAACTTTTAACACAGGCAACATTTGCTTTGCAGTGGCCACTTCAGTTGTGTTTGATTAAATGAGTTGTTTGAAGGGATAAACTAGAAAATAAAATCCATGAGGTAAAAAGGGTTTTAAAAAACCTTAAAAAAAGGTTAAAAAGGTTTGAAAGGGTTGAGCCATCCTTCAGTGTGTCAGAGTTGAAATTATATGGAATTAAATCTTTATAAAGATGAAATGAAATCTTTATAACCACACGTACACTGTGCTGGTGTTTGTGTGCAGTCTTACGGGGCCTTTTGGGTGCTCATGAGAAAAGATGAATAAATAAATAAAGCAAAATGAACGAGTAAAGAATGGAAACAGCTCTAAAGCACTGGCACTGTAAATCCCAGAGCCCTGGAGGTTGGGAAAGAGCTCTGAGCTCATCAAATCCAAATTCTCACAGGAACCTCAGCCTGAGAGCACATCTGGAGGTGCCTTTGCAAGTTCTTGGTTGTTGCTGGAAGTTAGTTGGGTTGTTTTGCTCTTCACATTGTCTCCATTGAATTTTAAAATGCACAAATGGTTTCTTTTTAAAAACAGAAGCCGTGGGAGCATCTGGTCAGCGTCCTGTTTTCTGCCCTGTCCACAAACAAGAGCAGTTGAAACTTTTCTGTGAAACCTGCGACAGGCTGACGTGCAGAGACTGTCAGCTACTGGAGCACAAGGAACACAGGTACAGATACACAAATATTCTGAATATTTCTGAACTCCTGTGCTGTCTCAGAGGGTGAAGTGGCATTGATGGGAGCTGCTTGTGTTGGAAATTCTGCTGCATTTACTCCTGGTTGGAATGAAGCCATCATCCTTGCAGAAAACTGTGGTGTTTTTTGGGAGGAATGATGAATCTGACTCTGTGTTCTTAGAAGGCTAATTTATTATTTTGTGATCTGTAATATATTAAAGAGTACTGTAATAAACTATAATAAAGAATACAGAAAGATGCAGACAGAAGGCTTAAAGATAATAATGAAAAACTTGTGATTCCTTCCAGAGTCCCAACACAGCTTGACCATAATTGGCCAATAAATCAAAACAACTCACATGAAACCAATCAAACAAACACCTGCTGGTAAACAATGTCCAAACCACATTCCAAAAGAGAAACAAATCAGATAATTATTATTTTCATTTTTCTCTGAGGCTTCTCAGCTTCCCAGGAGAAGAAATCCTGGGCGAAGAGATTTTTCAAAAAATGAGATGGTGACAGAGAAACCTGTGTGAATGATGGAAACTTGAGCTTTGCAAGTCCTTTAGGATGAGATTTAAGCCCGGATGGGCTGAGGAGGTTTTTGTGATTCAGGTGCTCATTTGCCTGGCAGTTCCCAGTGCAGTCTCTGTGGTCAGGACTGGGTTGGAAATTCCTGCAGCCCTGAACACCTGGTGCTGTAAAAGAAGCAAAAGTGATAGAGTGAGTCATGGCTGGGGTCAGGAATTTTCTGAAAGGGCTTTTTTGGTTGTGCAGCAGTCCTTAGGGGGATTTTGTAAAGGAAAGTCTAAATTTTGCCTTTTATATTCGTATATTCTTCTGGTGCAGAGGGGAAAAATTTGGGTTTAGTTGGGTAAAAGTTCCAGGTTTTACCTCATTAAAAGGAAATGCTGGGTTTTCACATTCCAACTTCTGCTCTTCAGCAGCTCTGTCATGGAGTTGTTTGAATGTCTGAACAAAGATTTTGCAGTGTTATAACAGAGAATCTGGGGATAATTCATATTTATCAACCGCTGCTTTCCCTTAACTCATCTCTCTAAAGGTGTAATATTGAATTGTGTTCTGCTTTTCTTTTTTTTTCTTGGTTTTTTTTTAGAAAAATGAGTCTGTTTTTCTCAGAATAGTGATTATTCTCAGACTGCTACAGCAGCCTCTGGAAAACTTTTACTTTGAAATAATAATGATAATGATAATAATAACAATTATTGTTATTATTTAATAATAATAAAAACCTTTACTTTGAAATGACAATAATAATTATTATTATATTAACACCCTCAAAACTTTTACTTTGAAATAACAACAATAATAATAACACCCTCAAAACTGTTACTTTGAATTATTATTATTATTATTATTATTATTATTATTATTATTATTATTATTATTATTATTATTATTATTATTATTATTATTATTATCCCTCAAATGTTCCTGCTCTGTTCTTTCATATCCTGGGTGCTCCCTTGTCACAAATAAATCTCCTGGGATTTATTCACTGACTTGGTCCTGTTGGTTTCTCTGCATTAACAGCTGGATCTTGCCCTGCTTACCTGTGCTCTTCCACAAGGAGAATTTATTGTTATTAATGTGCTTTTTTTTTGCAGAATGTTCTTTCCATATGGTTCTGAGTGCAGGTGTGAATTACATTGATTAAGGCGCTGCCTGAAGTACAGCTGAGATTTCAGGGAGAATCATGCCAAATGGGAAAAAATTTATTTTAATCCTCTGTTTTCTTCTTACCTGAAATCCTAATATTTTACCCCAAAGGAGGGTGAATCACCATTTCTGTACCTCCAGTTCAGAATCTCAATTTTAGGATTCCAGAATGGTTTGGGGTTGGAAGGACCTTAAAGATCACCCAGTTTTCCCCTGTCAGGGCAGGGATTGCTGGGGTTCTGTGGAAAGCTGGCAATAATTCCAGCACCTGATGCTGTGAGATTCCTGAATTTGGGCATTTCCAGTCCACCCTCTTGGGACTTTTTCAGTGACTTTTTCAGTGACTTTTTCATACTGACAAAAGAAAAGGATTTTGGCTGTAAAAAGAGTTACAGATCAATTTTAGCAGTACAAGCTGCAAGTAGATTTTTCACTTCTCCTTCAAGTGGAAATATAATTTTGAGCTTAATGAAAATAATTTCAGAAAATCAGCAGTTCCCAAACATTTCAAGTTTTTCTCTCTGGGCTTTAGGAATGCTGCATTTTTGTGTTTCAGTATCTAAAATCTTGTGCTGCTGTCTGTCTGTCTGTCTGTGTGCAAGAACTTTAACCTGTTCTTAGAAAAAGCAAAATTCCACCCCTGAGAATGAAGAATCTCAACTCTTGAAATTCAGATTTGTCTGGTACAAACTGAATTAACAGGAGTGGAGTTGTTTTTGTTGTCAATGATGTTCTTTGTCTGTTCTCATGCTTGTGAGTCATTTAAATAAAAAAACTGTGAGTTTGCTGAAATCCAGACAATCTTTTATTTTGGATTGTAATGTTCTACACTGTGACAGAAGACAACACTGATTTCTTCTTAATTTTCTTTGGAAGATGCTGTAAATTGTTTTAAAGCACCTTATAGAATGCTTCATTAATTGCAGCAGTTTTCTGGTAATTTGAATATTGGCAAAACATTGCCAAGGTGTTCTGGGACAAAATGCTGCATTTTTGTGTTTCAGTATCTAAAATCTTGTGCTGCTGTCTGTCTGTCTGTCTGTGTGCAAGAGCTTTAACCTGTTCTTAGAAAAAGCAAAATTCCACCACTGAGAATGAAGAATCTCAACTCTGGGAGTTCAGATTTGTCTGGTACAAACTGAATTAACAGGAGTGGAATTGTTTTTGTTGTCAATGATGTTCTTTGTCTGAGTCCCTGTTATCATCCTTGTGAGTCATTTAAATAAAAAAACTGTGAGTTTGCTGACAATCCACACAATCTTTTATTTTGGGTTGTAATGTTCTACACTGTGACAGAAGACAACACTGATTTCTTCTTAATTTTCTTTGGAAGATGCTGTAAATTGTTTCTAAAGCACCTTATAGAATGCTTCATTAATTGCAGCAATTTTTTGGTAATTTGAATATTGGCAAAACATTGCCAAGGTGTTCTGGGATATTAAGTTTTCCCTGTTGTTAAT